AAATACCTACCAATGGGTTCTTTCCAATGTGGTCACTGCAGTGCATGCCCGTTTATTACCAAGAGGGTCTCTGACAGCAAGGGCTTAATGAATTTCAAACCACGTTCCTTCTTTAATTGTAACACAACAGGAGTAGTTTACCTACTGTCTTGCTCCTGTGGCCTAAAATATGTAGGCAAGACTTTTCGCCACTTCAGGCTAAGGATACGTGAACATGTAAATTCTGTCAAGAGACGTTTGGAAACATCCTCAAGGCATTTACATCTACATCACAATCACTCCTCGGCAGGCATCCGGTTCATGGGTCTTGAACATGTACCACAGCCTCCTAGGAAAGGAAACTGGGACCTAAAACTAAGACAAAGAGAGGCGTTTTGGATTTACCATCTCAAAACGCTATCTCCCCTGGGGCTAAATGAAGGGTTTTCATATTCCCCGTTTATTTAAAGTACTGCAATAATTCTGATAATAAACGGTATCTTAAGTTATGTCTGTATATATGTATATATTCTTTATTTATTTCTATTATATTTGGTGTTCATATGTCCATTAATTTTACCTGTATTATAGGTCTAAGAGTTTAGGGGTCTGTTTTGTGTTGCATAAACTAATGGGTTACTATTTACAGTGGTAATAAAAGAATTGTCGGCTTCTGTGTATGACTGCCCATATAGCCATTGTACTTATCCCTTACTGGTTCACAACGGTTATAAGTTGTTTCTTTAATTGTACTAAAGCTACACAATACAGCCATAAGAATCAATCCACCCACTTGACCTATATGATACAATTTGGACATTCCAAGGGTTAACTGTTAAGCTATGGATACTGCCTTTTAGATATAGTAAGTATCCATTTATATCTGTTCCGGGCGGGGCACTCAAAGGGTTAATTGCCTTTCACCTGATTTCTGTTCTGGCTACCTCTGACATAGAAATGTGGGCTGACATTATGGTGTGTTACACCACACCCCCACAGCCCCATTCACAGGAGGACCGGAGCAATTTAGACACAATCACAGGTGATTACAATAAAGCTTATGAGCTTAAGGTATAAATTTACCACCCGGACAGTTTTTTGCTCACTACTGATACCCCTGAGGACGGCGTGTGGTCACGCTGAAACGTACGTCGGGTTCTTCTGTGTTTTTAATACTCTCTTGAGCACTTTGCTCTGAGCACCTTTTCATTTATGTTTTTCTAGTATGTGTGTGTACCTGGGGCTTCAGATGTTATGACAGCATTTAGATTAGAACACCCACGAAGGTGTTTAATAGGAGATAGGGTATTAGCATAGCACTACTGTTTGGTTGGGAGTGTGTGTTTCTCCCTTTCCCTGTTCTTTCCTACTGCTTTGTTACCTGAGTTATGTATGGGGGTACATATTGCCTTCCATCCCCTCTCCGTTTCTTGTGAGGGTTGGCTCTTGATTAGCCTTGTTCCTACCATACATATTTCTCCCTATATTATTCTGTCCATCACTGATTACCCAGGTTTTTTAATAGATTTCAATAAAGGCTTTTTTATTTTTTGGCAACTACACTACTGTTGAGATTGGACTGGGTATTTACCCTCTGGGCGGTCTTTATATAAGACATCCCTTTTTGGGGTTTTTTTCTTCCTTTTTTCTAGTCTTTGAGTAAACCCTACCAAAAAGGCTAAACTTGATGGATGCGTCTCTTTACGGCTATGTAACTAATATGGTAGATGTAGTCCACAACATCTGGAGTGCCAAATGCTGCCTACTCCAGTTATATCAACACTAAAAAACAATATTCATGAAAAACCAGTTGTATCAAACCACAACCTCTTATTAAGGACATAACAAACGTCCAAAGGGAAAATGTGAGAAAGAAAACTACTGTATATGGTAGCATATAAAAATATACAATGAAGGAGAACATCAGAAAGGGTAGAAGGGAGAGAAACATATGGTTAAATTTTGGTAAAATTGTGGGTAATGCTATTTTCACATCTCATCTCACCTTGCAATGAAACTAATCATCATTACCTTAATTATTTTCCGAGATAGCTGTCTAGCTTTAGGTATGAATCTCAGTTTACTGTTCTATATGTAGGAAGCTTTGATTCAACAAAAATACCATACTGTAGCCCTTGCTGACTTACAATTAAGGTCTCAATTTAATACTGTTGGATAAGCTTTTTAAACAATTAAATTATATTTAGATACACTTTTAAAAATTATTTAATATTTTCAAAAATATTTTAATATGGTGATTTGTTGATATATTAATGTATATTTTTAAATTCTTTATTTTTGCGAGTGATCGCTGAAATAGATCATGGTATGAAAGACATATAGTAACAAGCATGATACAGTAATAAGGATATTTAGATCTTGTAGCCTAAATCCACTCATTTTTTTATTTTTGTGACTTGGGTCCCCACTCTTGTCAATGTGCGTTTAAGTGGTCTGTATCTAAGAAGCTTGCTGGTATAGAGCTTATAGCGCCGTATAGCTTGTCTGCGCAGCGCCGTTAATCATGGGCTTATCTAAGGCAATTTTGTGTAGACTTACTAGCATTCATTAGCAGTGGAACACTACCTGAGGAACAATTACTTCTTCTGAAGGCCTTGGTCATGGGCCGAGCGGGCATAGGCACGCCTAAACAAAAGGAGAAAAAGAAACTTAACTATAGGTCTCTGCACATTCTATTAAAAAGGGAGGTAAGGGGGGAAGAACTGAACACTGGGCTAGACCAACGGCTTATGGAGCCAGTATACTTTATGGAGCGTTATAGGAGAGTAATCAGTGGGTGGTATGCCTCATACAACATTGTAAACTAAAAACAGTGCAAACTAAAAACAGTGCAAACTAATGAGACAGATAGGTATAGACTTCAGATAAATGAGGTGCTTGTTTCACGTCCACCTCTCCTGGGTACAAAAGGATTAATTTCTGCAACAGTCCAGGACGAGCGATCCATCTTTATTGTCTTCTAGGTATGCCCAGGGACTGGAGGAAAGCTGGTGCGTCAGAAAGGTGTGTCAGCATGTATGACTTGCCGGCCTTGTCAACCAGGATTCGGCGTGGGCCACACTTGTAGGGGATAGAGTGCTCCTGCAGTAATTGGGTGACTTGCTTGCAGCTTCTCACTGCCCCCATGAATGCTCCGCGGTCAGATTCCCGATTTAATTTCAGCAGGACGTCTCTAGGTACATCTTGAGCTGTGTTGGAAGCTTTGGTAAGTCGGAAACAAGAGTCTACCACTATTTGTTTTGCCTGCTTGGCAGGGGCGTACCTAGAGCATTTGGCACCCGGGGCGGATCCTGTGCTTGGCACCAAAAAACCTGTAAAAATGTTCTACAAAACCCTTGTCCTGCCCTGCCCCTCCTACAAAACCTCTGTCCTGCCCCTTCTACAAATCCTGTACTGCCCCATCTACAAAACCCCCGCAACCCCCTTCCACAAATCCCCTGCTTATCCCCCCTTATAAAGACTCCTGTCCCAATACAAAACCCCCACCCCCTTCTACTAAATCCCTGCAGCCCCACACACACATTTACAGGCAGACAGTCACACACTCAGTTACAGACAGACAGTCACACACTCAGTTACAGGCAGACAGTCACACATACACATTTCCTCCGTGCGGCCAGTTTATCAGCTGTTTGCTTGGGTGAGCTGTACTGGCCGCACGGCACCCTAACTACCATGGGACACTGTGCGGCCACAGCTCACACAGCCCCCTCCAGCCAGGGCCGGTACAAGGATTTTTGCCGCCCAAGGCAAAAGTAAAGTTTGCCGCCCCCATGTGACATCACAATGCCCCAGCCATATAATTTGCCATGTTAACTAACGCCAGTGCTACAGTGCCGCCGTGTTTACATTACCGTGTTTACAAGGCCTGCAGGGACAGGCTATAGACACCAGAACCACTACATTAAGCTGAACTGGTTCTGGGGACCTGAAATATTCTCTTTCTCACCCCTTATTTCTCTTTCTCACCCCGCCATTTTCTCTTTCTCACCCCCTTATTTCTTTTTCTCACCCTCTCTCACCCTGGAACACTCTTTCTCACCCCTTATTTCTTTTTCTCACCCCCCTTATTTCTCTTTCTCACCTCCCTGTAGCGTGGCCGAGCCCTGTATAGTCCGCGGGTACAGGGAGCTTTTGTTTCCTGTACCCGGCTGGACTAACAGGAAGTGAACACTCAGTGTGC